TACTGTTTTAATCTGGGGGTTGCCAAATGTCCAATTCATACCATACAATTGAAGCATACTCATGCAAGGGACACAAATATTTCCTTATGCTGGGAATCACACACTTGTTAGATGGAAAACAAGACCAAAATCTTATTTAAGTCACTATGGGCAGGGTTTGCCATTTATGCTGGCATGACAGCCTGCTGTCATGACTGAGCTGCAAAGTTAGGTAGCTTTGGCTGCATCATACTATCCCAGCATAGATCTCAGACAAAACATTAATTAAAAATCATGATATACACTTGATCTAAACGGCTTAAATGCTTTCTTTCGGTTCCTCTATCAACCAATCGGATTTCAAATGCATGTGATATAGAAGTGTGAGACTATGTGAACAAACCTCAAACGGGACCTCCCCAACCCATGTCAGGAAACCGTCCACAACGCGCGGATCCTCCGCCGGTTTGCACCCATCTTTTGTCTTTGCTGCGTCCGTGTTGTAGACAATGTACAAGGAAAATGCTTGTCTTAAAGTGCTGCTTTCACTACTTCGTCTCACGTTTCACTACTACTTCGCAGGGAACTAAAGTTAACTCCAAATTCAGGAAACAATGAGACACTTTTCTCCAAGCCAGAAACAGCTCGTAGTAACCTACATTTTCACGGATCGGTTGAATCTGGCGACCTAAGATTACAACATGTAATTTGTCCGCTTCATGTCGCAATATATAACGTACGTATATGACGTGTAACCAATGAAACAGAACACACCACTTCGAGCACTCTTCCCACGGTTTGACAAAGATGCGAACACGTCTTTTGCTTCCACAGACATGTGACATACTGCATTCATCAAGCTGCTTGACTCAAAAATATTGCTCACACAGGTAATAACATTTGTATTACTGACTGACCTTGCACAACGCTGGAGACATGACAAGTGCATGTAGTTATGGATAGATAATCAAAATGCAAGGAAGTGATGAAGCAGCTGGTGCACACAAGGCTCATGATAGAAAATTATGAAGTACTATCCAAAAAACCCAACAGCAATGCTTCTCCACCTTCCTCAGCACCCAGCATCTCAGGCAAATTGCAGCGACTATAACAGTGATGACTCACGAGTAATGCTTGCTTGCATGCAAGATTTGTTTAGGAAAAGTATCACGCGAGCTTGTACCAGCCATGTGCATTAATAAGTAGTGCTGACTTGTCCCCACTGCTTAGATGAATCGCTAATATGATGGTGTGCAATGGATTAGTTACATGCTGTAATACCTTAATAGGTTCAAAATGCTAGCAAGGTCATAATGAAGTAGCAAATTGCCTTTGAACACTCCTGCAGCAGGGGTGCTGGTGTTTTTTTCAGTTTGCCGACATCACTACCTTGTCATGCTCAAACACGAGCCTTAAGATAGAAGCCGGTATCAATATATCACATTTTATTGGGATTTAAAGAATACCAAAACAATGTCCACTCTCAGAAGCACAAGCCTCGCACGCGCACTCACCATCACCTCAAGATCAATACAAGCCACTGGCACACACCACCAGTCATCACACCCACCTTAAGCGCTTTATTCACACTCTCAAATAAGTGTGATCACCCACTTTTACGACCCGCAGGACTATCAAATTGCAGGTTTTCTCGCACTTTCCGCAGTTTTTCGGTTATAACACCCCATTTCACCGTGAGCTCCTTTTAAAATAAAGTCCCAACGGGGGTTCATGGTAATACAACTCAAGAGGCTATGCTTGTAGGACACAATTTTGTGTTCAAGATTTAGATTTGTCCTACAATATGTGTTAAGTATTAAGTAACAGATATGTAGGTTGCTATTTCGGCGACATGGTCCTAAGCCTAGTACCAGATTGGTTCGTGGTATCTTCCTGGTCTGGAACCAGGAACTGTTTCCCGGGAAGAAACTTTGGTAACAACGCAACTGTTTGCTTACCTGACGCAATCCTTTTCCCAGGGAAGGATTAATAAGATCCAGCTAGTCTGTGTTTGTGATTGAATGCCTGCGAGCAGCTGGGATTAATCGGTGCCAGATACGGCACCGCCGTAGCTCATCTGCGGAGCCATGGCTAACTGTCCAACCTGCATGCGACAGATGAATCAGCTAGCTCCACACGGGTTCTACACACGCTGCCGTGTTCAAGCAGGAAGCTCAGAAGCTCGTAGTACAGTACACAGGCGTTGTGCTCATTTCCACGAGGATGACTCAACGGTGCACGGTGCAGGGCGCGCGCACGTGATGTCTCGAGACCACGGGCGGACAGTACTCCCCTTTCGGACTCAGCTTTTACTGCAGGGCTTCCCGCTAGTTCGCGCTGCCTTGACCGTGTCTCACGACTTGAATTATCGAGCAAGCCCAATAGACAGACAGAATGTTACGTCTCAGGCCAAGCTGCTATCGCTGTTCCCATGAAAACTCTGTGCGCTGAGAACATTGAAAACTCCACTGCGCTGATCTGGATACCGAGCCACGTCGAACTTGCTGGCAAAAGGTCGGTAGATCAGGCTACAAAGTCTGCGACGTCCTTACAACGAACAGCACCCTCAGAATTCCCGCTAATGAAATGTCAAAGTGAACGAGTAGAAGGTTCATCAAGAGGCACGCCGCGTGGAGCGATAAGCACCATCATGGCAAGGCCATCTGTAGGGCGCCTGGACATTTGGAGCCCTAGCGTATGAACAAAAACATGGGCGCTCAGAAACGAGAAAGGTTTATGTCTTGAGAAGCGATATTCAAGATGATTTTTTAAAGTCAAATCCCATACCAATGATGAAAGCTCCCTTTTGGACGTCAATACGCTTGTAAACCCGTCCCTCCTCCCCTCCAACATCATCACCGTCATGTCCCTTAGCTGCATGACCCGTACTTAGCGGGGCCCATATATCACTTCTTCGTGTATGTGCTGATTCCCCGTCCCTATACGTGACCTTGTGAAGCTGGCTTACTAAGAAGCTGTCAATAAGGTGTTGAACATTCGGCCCGAAGTGCCGCAAACATGGGTGCGCTCCTGTAGCGTCGTCCGGCGGCAATCCGATATGATGATCTCTGTACAGTATCATCAACCGTGTAAACAGCGAAGCGACGGAGCGCATGTTCAAAGCTGACTTCGGGTCATCCGGCAGCGAATGACCAGTCGGTCAGCGCAGTCGAGCGATGTGCTTATGGAGACGGTCCATGTGCGGCTGTCACATTACCCCTATGTTAATAACCAAACGTTAAGCCGATCAATCACCATGGAAGAAACATTACAAAGCTGTTCAGCAACCATCCACAACAGATGAATTAATGACGATGGTACATTTGCAGATATTTTTCCAGATTGCCATTCACTCATGTCTTCCGTCAGCTCGCTGGTTCTTTGCATTAGTCATGTAATGCAAAGTTCGCGCAAGCTGTGTATCGTTCTCAAGTTCGCAAAGATACATACACATATCATTTGACACAACAGCTCTGCTGAAGATGAGATCCGCGCATGCAGCGTGAGCCACCCTACGCTTTATCTGTCTTATCCACATTTAGCCACTGGAACCAAATAATTTCATATTCGACGACATGTGATGTCAAAAATTAGGCTTTCATAACGAGGTGATGAGAAAAATGGCCTGTGCGAGGAATGGGGTAGGAATATTTGTCGATATGAAGAAATGCGCGCGGAGAGAAGCGCGACGCCATTGATCGGCGATGCGAGAAAATTTGACGTGGCGAAGATGTGCAAAAATGTTGTGCATGAGTAAATGTCACACAATGAATTGCATATACAAATTACTGTAAAACGAGGCAGGACAATGCAATCATGCGTACAATCATTGTAACTTGGCATGTACCAAGTTTCACGGATACGAAGATTTACGTAAGACGGAAAACTGCACAAGGGTATGCGACGCAAAAGTCTAACTAAGAACACTGCGGAGCGAAGAAGCCCGATAGGAAATTCTCCCTAGAACCTAGTCAACGCGGTGTTCTTATACCGAAAACTTGGATGATTCCACTGCCGACTCGGACCCCAGGCGGATTCGGGTCAAATCCGGTATATGGCTGTCTCCGGGCGTCCGTGGCCGTCCCGGGGACCTCAATACTCTGAGAGAAAAAAACGAAGGGCCTCGACAGCCAGGCAGTTGAATCGTGCTCACTCAAGTTTGAGTGAGTGGTGCTCAAATTGGCTGAACGATTGCTTAAAACGGTCCTTTCCGAAGGAGTTCTTGGCAGGATGAGTGCATAAACCAAAATTATAGCACGTGAAAGGAAACGCGACATGTTTAGGAAAGGTGTACAATTGTGTCCGGGAACACAAAACTTTTGCCACATGTGTTGCATAATTAAGTGTGAAGCTCCATCCTTTCATGGCGCCCACCTCGCATCAATGTGAACACCACGCTTAGCTGTAGAGAACTGCGACATTAAGAGGTTCACTTCGCGCACTACAAATTCTTGGCAGGATCGAACGAGTCGGGAACAAAATATATCGTCAATGGTTATAAATACTAGGCATGGTGTTTTCGTAATAACACTACTTCCGTTGATGCGGGTTGATTTGTTGCCTGCAAGGGAGCCCACAGTTTCTTACCATAAAGGGTTCAGCTAGTCATGATGATGGACCTGGCCTACGCAAACGCCACTACCTAGTCGGTGTGTTTCAAGTTTAATATCCTTGATGCGTACTCCACGATTTTGAATTCTGATAACAAGCTTCATATGTCTTCTATACTCTGCTTTGTTTTGGGCTATTTGCCGTATGTTTTGGCATCATTCGGCCAGGTTTTCACATCTTCCTGACTGCACTAAATTGTATTATTCTGCCACGACGTTCAATAGGCGAATAAATCCAAATCACTTTTCGTTTACTTACTCAAATGTAACTTGCCTACTAACTTAGTTTAGGTAACTAACCAGGTACGTTTGAAGAATCACTGACATGGATTATATCCCATACACGTCATGTTCACATGTGTAATCAGAGCGCCCTGCGGGTGCGTCCACTGAGACGCCGCTACAGCCAGCTCACGGATCATCAGCGCCCTGGCACGTCTCATTGGTGCGGGTGCGTTCGGCGGTCGGTGCGGCGGACACCGGCTGCCCATCTACATCGGCCACCGTCTCCGGCATCGGGCGGCCGTTGGTCTCGGGCAGGAGCAGGCCGGCGAGGCCGCCCAGCATGGCGAGGCCGGCGAACACGGACGACGGCGCGCTCTCGTGCAGCTCGCTCACCAAGTCCACCACGAACGGCGAGAGGGCGGCGCCCACTCGCGCTGCCAGCTGCCGCAGGCCGCACGCCAGCGAGCGGACCTCGGTGGGCATCAGTTCGGCAGTGAACACCATTATCGTGTTATACGCGGAGGAGACGCCGATCTTGGCGACCACGCCGAGCACCAGCCAGAGCGTGGTGTCCTTCTGTACGAAGGTGAGTAGCATGGCAGCGGCCTGCAGCCAGAGGAGGAGGATCAGCGAGGGTCGCCGTCCCAGTCGGTCCAGCAGGGGAAACACTAAGCTGGAGGGAATGCCGGCGAGACCGATAAACACCGCCGCCAGATGCGGGCTCGCCGCCAGTTGCGTCGTGTCAAACGAGATACCGAAGTAGGAGCCGGCGATGATGAAGCCGAGAAAGACGGCGATGAGTGTTCGGCGGCGCATGTGCGGCGTCCGGACCAGCTGCAGCATCATTTGCAGCGGACTGTGGCCGTCGGTGGTCTTCGTAGTGGTCTGGCGGGACAGCATGTTGTTCCGCGCCTCCGCCATCAGCTGCAGCACCTCCTCCTCTGGCAGCACCCGGCGGCCGTTCCAGCGCGCGCCCCGGCGCAGCACGGCACGCGCCTCCGGGAACCGGCCCTGCAGCACCAGCCAGCGGGGCGACTCGGGCATCAGCCAGAAGTTGAACAGGAAGATAAGACACGGCACGGCGTACGCCAGCTGGAGCAGCCATCTCGTGCGGATCAGGTACGAGCCTAGCGCGACGAGACAGGTGCCAAAGGCGAATGGCATGATTGAGACGATACCGATCGCGGCGCACCGCTCGCTGCTGGACAGCTCCATCATCAGCACGTACTGGCTGCTGATCATGGCCGACATGGCGACGCCCGTCAGGAAGCGCACGGCCGCGAAGCTGGCGTAGTCGGTGACGAGCGCGACGGTGAACGCGCAGGCGATCAGCAGCAGCATGGCCGGCAGAAAGACGGGCCGCCGGCCGAAGCGATCGGCCAGCTGGCCGCTCACCACCGAGCCGAACAGGGCGCCGATCATCAGCCACGATTGCAGCAGTGAGAGCAGCGGCTTGCGGCCGCACACCAGCGTCCACTCGGTCACCACCGTCGACACGTACACGGACGGGTCGTACGCCCAGCGCTGACAGGCGGCCGTCGAGTTGGCCGCGTGGCAGCGCGGCGTATCGGACGGCAGCGAGGCGAAAGTGGCATTGGCGGCGAAGCCGTCGGCGCATCTAAACTTGGGCGTGGCGCCGACGAACATCATGGACATGGAAAAGGCGGGGAAGAGCAGCCACAAGACTGACAAGTACCCGATGAGCAGCGTTTGCCAGCGGCCGGTGCCGCAACACCGCTCCAGCACGTCCTCGAAGAGCACCTCCGCCTTCTGCTCGGACTTCTCCTTGGCCTTGCCACTCTCTGCCGTATCCGCCATCGCGACAGCTTACTTGGTCACGAGCACTCCCAGAGGTGTTCGCGTGCGTCGGGCTCAGCGACGCGTCACGCTCCTCTCGGCGCACTCCGTGATCCTGGCCCACGCACACGGTAGGCTCGCGGAGACTCCGCGTTCCGTCGCCGCACCGCCGAACAGGCGCGAGTGCTTCACGTCCGTCGTGTTACTGGTCGGCAGAACCTGCCTCTGCCACCCAACGAAGGCGAGTGGCCTTACTGCGCCGTTCGGCCGGGCGCCGCGACACGTCCGACCGGCCTCAGTGGCGCCCGCCGCACTGCAGCGGCCGTTTACAGAACCTCCTCCAGAAGCACTTGCCACGCTGCTGTTCTGGAAATATAGATGTGCGTGCGCGCCCACTGTGCAATATGCATACGTTAGAATCGGTAGCCGAAGTTAAGAACGGGTACAGTAACTGTAAATTTCCCCCAGTTCCCGCAAAGCTTAACCAAATTGTGTGTTAAGTAAAAGGTAAAAATAAATATATAATAAATAAGGCATAAAGTACAAGTGTCAATAAGTAAATAAACACAAGCGCCCATACGTCTACGCGCAAAGAGAACGGGTACTTATGTGGGGTTCTTAGCGTGCATATTACGCATAAAGTAAAAGTGTAGATGAAGTAAATGAGCGCAAGTTTGTTTCATCTATATAGTTCCCTGTACAGAATGCCGTTTTAGCAACACATATGCTTCGCTGCAGATGGCTTAGCTGCACCACAGAGGCGACCCAGGGAGGAAAGGAGTTGGGGGCAACCAGGTCATTTAAACGTACACTGGAACAATCCTTCGGCGTGGATATTTCGACTCCTGATACCACCCCTGCCAAGAGGCAAGGGCTGGAAAAGTTAGAAAGGTGTATGGCTCGCGCGCATTTAGGTATCGGACTGACAAAGCGATGACCGTAAAGTCAGCAAAGATACATATATGAAGTGAACTACATAGGTCAAATAACAGCAGTTTCTCAGAGCGTAAATAAATGATAAAACGTGGCGCGAAAAACAGGCCTATGGAGCATGTATTTTAAGCCATATAACCAAGTTTAAAGCATCATTTCACCAGGTGTTTTGGGTACGCGCGGATGATGAAAGAGCTTGTCAAGTCCTTGGTTCGTTGGCACACACCATTAAACCAATCGAACGATCTATTCTTCTCCGGACACTCGCACACCGCACCGACTTGGCGCATTCACACTCACAGACAAGGTTGCCGTAATCGGCATATCGAACGGCAGGATGGGCTGCCCACACGTGACGTCACTAAACCCGAGTACGAACACCACGCCTCCCCCGGGTCGATAGGTAGATCTTGACTTTCGGGTCGACCTCTAGCCTCTCCGGGGCCCTCCGCTGACGGTTGCCTCGACGCGGAGCCACCGTCCTGGGTTGGTCCGCAAATCGCACCTTCTTTGGAGCTGGTCTTGGTGTGACGTCACTGCGTGCGGGAGCCGAATCGCCCTATGTGGCGTAAACAGGCCGGTACATACGAATGAACCGCCGGTTTCGCCACATGGTGCGACCGCTGGGGAACTTTACCAGGTAATCCCTCATTCTTCCGATGGCCATGACTTCTCCCATTCTGTCCCAGAGTCCTGTCTCCTTGTCCTGTACACTCACTTTCGTGCCGATTCGCATCGGGTGCAGTGGCTTTGCTCCTTTGTCGTAGGCTGTAGTCGTCGCTCTTATCACATTCTCCCCCTTCCGGTCGCAGTCCTTCGCACCCCTCTGCCAAGCTTTGTCGAAGCGCGATGGTGCATGGGGACTGCCGACCGAACTGGATGCCCGTAGAGGATCTGGGCGGGTGAGCGTCGTTCCACCCGGGGCGTGTTCCGGATCTCCAGGATGCCTCGGGCGAACTCATCGGAGTCCGTGTTGCCGGCCACAGACGTCCTTTGCAGCAGTCGTTTGACTAGCTTGACTGCTGATTCCGCGTGGCCATTCGACTGAGGGTAGTGCGGACTAGATAGCATGTGTCTGACCCCCCAGCGCACGCGGAAGTCCCTGGTGTGGTGCGCCGTGAACAGTGGGCCTCCGTCGCTTCTCAGGACGTTTGGCACGCCTGTGGAGGAGAAGATCTCACGCAGAGAGCGGACGAGGGTCCGGGACGTCGCTTCTCTGTTGCAGGAGACGACGATGGGCCAACCAGAGAGCCTGTCGGCGTACACGAGGAACGTCTTTCCTGCGTGGTGGAAGAAGTCCGCCGACACGGACTGGAAGGCTCTCGTCGGCTTGGGGTCGGTCATGAGTGGCTCCTTCTGCACGCTGGGTAGTCTCTCATGACAGTGGCGACATGATGTCACGACATTGTGGACGTCCTGGTCGATGTTAGGCCAGTACACCGACTGTCTGGTGCGCCGCTTTGTCCTGTCGACGCCTTGGTGACTGTCATGAAGGCGTTCGAGCACTTCACGTCGTAGGCTGTGCGGGATGACGAGTCTGCCTTGTGGTCGGGAAATCCTTGCATGACGGTCTCCGCCACCTTCCGGTATGCCTCGTCCGCGCCGGCAGCTTCTTTGGCCTTCCTCAGTAGAGCATCCTGGAACGGTGCAGATCCCGCTTCGTCTTCGTCGCCGTCGGTGAGGCGTGTCAGGAGGACACTGCGCGTCTGGTACGTCACGTCGTGTTCAGCTTTCTGGTCTTCAGGGCTCGGCTGATCGACTGGTGACCTTGACAGCGCGTCTGGGAGCTGATGAGTCTTTCCAGCTTTCCTGGCGGCTGTGAATGTGTATGCCATGAGCTTCTCTCGCAGTCGTTGGAGCCTGGGGTTTTCTATCTCCGCCAGAGACTTGGTGTTGGGGATGGGCACCAGAGGTCTGTAGTCGGTGACAAGGCTGAACTCTGCCGTTCCAGCCAGATAGATGTGGCGCTTGCGCACGGCCCAGTTCACCACCAGCATCTTGAGCTCCACGACAGCGTAGCGTGATTCGACCTCAGACAAGAATCTGGAGCCCCACTGGACCAGCTTCCACTCCTGGTCGTGACGCTGCAGCAGCGCGTAGCCCAGGCCTCGGGGTCGTGATGCGTCTGTGTGAACTGCGGTCGGCAGTGACGGGTCGAAGTAGGCCAGAACGGGAGGGGTGACGGGCGTTGCTTTGACGGCTTCGAACGCTACCTGGTGCACTGATGTCCATGTCCACTGGTTCCGGGGCCTCAGCAGGTCGCGTAGAGGCTCGGCTGTCCTGGCTGTGTCCGTCGAAAACGCTCCGAGCTGGTTGGCCAGTCCTATGAAGCTCCTTAAGTCTGTGAGGTTCTCTGGAACGGGGAAGCCAGCGATAGCCCGCGCCTTGCGCTGGTCTGCTGTGTAGCCGTCAGGACTGATGACGTAGCCGCAGAAGTCCAGCGTCTGGGCGGCGAACGTCGCCTTCGCCGAGTTCAGGATGATGCCATAGCTGTCGCATCGCTGAAGAATCTGGGTCACGTACAGAATGTGGGTCGAGTAGTCGTTATCGTAGGCCAGGATGTCGTCGAATACCTTGTTCGTCTTCGGCAGGCCCGCCAGTGCTGCGTATCCTCGCCGTCCATACTCGTTTCCGGACGTGCAGAGGCCCATGACGGCGCGTTTGAACTTGTAGCGTCCCCAGGGTGTTATTAAACGCGTCAGGTCCTGGTCTTCCTCTGCGATCGGAATCTGGAAGTATCCTGACTCCGCGTCCAGCTTCGTGAAGTGCCGGCTTCCTTGCTCGATTCCGGTGACGACATCGTGAGGCGTGGTGACTGGACGCGCTCCACGCCGAACGTAGAGATTGAGTCTGGTCAGATCCACGCACATGTGCACGGAGGTCTTGCCGTGGCTTCGGTCCGTGGGCGGCTTCGGCACTGGGCCCATCGGGTGACACCACTCAGTCGGGTGTGCCACGGGCGTGATGACGTCTTGCGCGATCAGATCGCAATTTCCGCAGATTTTTGGTTATAACACCGCATTTCACCGTGCGCTCCCTTTAAAACGAAGTCCCAACGGGGGTTCATGGTAATACAGCCCAAGGGGCTATGCTTGTAGGACACAATTTTTTGTTCAAGATTTAAATTTGCCCTACAGTATGTGTTAAATGTACATTAACAGATATATGGGTTGTTATTTCGGCAACATACTTCTATCGAAATAATGGCAGAAGAATAGCACTTCTTATTGTAATTCTTAAATACTACTTCTGCTATTGCTTGGATAGACATCTTGCTGAAATATCAACCCAACTGTGTCTCTATTCTCCAAATTTTTATCCGAGGAATAAGGCTAATGCTACTATCTCATCCACGATAAATGTGTAAGGAAGCTGTCTTTGTCGAAAATAGATGAGACACTGCAGAACACTTGAAGCCAGTTTCTCAAAACACAACTTCGCATATTTTTGGCATAAACTGTACATTTTTTGCGTGTAATAGTATAATCCAGTCTCTCAAAGCAAAAATGTACAACTTACAACTAGAATCTAGGACACTGAAAAAATACACAAAAAATGTACAATCTATGACACAAATATACACAAACAATCTTGCATAAGGTTCCCAAAGCCAACAACAAATGTACGACAGAGCTTAATCTTGATGGGTCCCCGATGAGTTTGGTAATGCAATCAACGCAAGCATTTGTGTCGTAGATTATAACACTGACCTTAGGACTGCTACTTCTTGAAAGACGAATTGCTGCAGTGGCAAGCCTAAACAGCATGCAACAGCTGCTTAAGGCATAACAGAACATAAAGCTTGAGTGTGAGCAAGTAATAGTGAGTGTTCCTGTCTTTCCGGCAAGAAGCCTTGGGTAGGGCATGCCAAGACCAAAAGATGGGGCAAAACTGCCTGGTCAAGGACCTTCCTTTGCAAGAACATCAAAATACACCACAATAAAGAGAAATTTGTGTGGCTGCCACCATACTTGTTATGGATACCATACATTTTATGTCCGTGCAAGTTGTATTCCAGACACTTTCAAGGTGAGATATGGGCAGCATCATTGCCTGTAGTGCCTACCCTAGTTGAAAACATTATGATG